AATATCAAATGGCCTGAACGACAACAAAAGGCAAAAATGGCTTGGCACGGAAGGTGTTAACGTGCACTGTACTTCGCGACAGTAATAATGAGTTTGACAGTGCATTCCTAAGTTGTAATAATTCTTGAATGTAATAAAGCTGTGCAGCTACGAGTAATAGAGTTATATAGCTTCGAGGTTATGTTCAACGGAATTTATTGGTTGTAATAATTCTAAATATTTCACCTTGGCGAAATATAATAATGTAATGAAGGTGTATGGCTATCCTTTGAAGTTACGTTCAACAGAATTTATCGGCTGTAATAAGTCTAAATAATTCACCTGTGTTTCGCACAGAAACGAAAGTGCCAAAGCCGTCGCATACTTTTTGAAACACCTGTATGGAAGGAGCGGTATCTCTGGACATATTTCTCTCTCTTTCTCTCTCTCTCACTTTTATTTCTTTCTCTCACCGACTTCGTATTCGCAGCACGATAGTTGAGGATCGCGCAATGAGAATTTTTAACACAGCCACAGCCGCCGAGTATAATTAATTCTCGACCATGAGCTGTTCGTGACCGAAGCTTGACCGCAGCTTACACTTTTGTTGCAGTAAGGATTTATTATAACCAAGATAACCGACAGGGGAAAATGTTAAATCGAACAGGCTTTAAATCAATTTCAATTTCTTGTTACTATTTCTCCGAATATTTTTGTTTAATATATATATTTCTCAAACTCAATTCTTTCTTTCAGAAGTTTTTTCTGCTATTGTATTACTTTAGATTGTTTTATCAGATACTTTGTGAGACAGACTTTGCACTTTCTAGGAATAATAAACACTTTCATACTTATTGTTAGTCAGTGCTCTATTATTTTACATTCCCTAAGTTTTGTTTTCAACACACACACACACACATACACACAGAGTAGTAGAATGTGTATAAAAATTTACGAATCTTCAAAATATTTTTATAGCAACGATTAAAAAACCATGCTGTAATCTGAATTGCGTGGTATAAAATAGAGGTACGAATGACTCACCAGTCTTGTTGCTATTGTTCCCGAAAGAATGCAATTTCTTCCAGCCTTTCCAACCTTTTTTCCAGATCATAGCCGCTTTCGTTTTACGCTGACCACCCGCCAATTCTGGAGTGCTAGTCTTGCCTATTCCCCTCCTCAATGAACCCAGTCCGGACCTGAACAAACAACAATCAAAAATTTCAGGTCTTTTTTTCATTTTCCCCTAGTTATTTTTTCTTTAAAGTAAAATTGTGGTACAGAAAGTTCGCGGAGTTTGCCTCTTGTTTTTTATTGATGGTGACTTTTTACAATACGAGAGAGGAAATTTCATGTTTTAACTGAGAAGCAATGTTATATATTTAAGAGAGAAGGTTCAATTCAAAAACGAATAGTACAGAAATCATTGTAATCGTTGTAATTTCTAACAATAATTAGTTATGGCA